AATGTAGTTTTTATTGAGAAATTAGGAAAAAAATCAATGCCGATATCATCTTCAGTAAAAAAAAAAAAAGAAACCACCACCACTCCTTATTTTCGTCTAGTTGGCAAGATACCCTATCGTTGTACTAATGGCACTACAGTGACATCTCGAGAGGCCCAAGCCTTGTCCATTGCTTCTGTATAAAACACCAGTAATCTCTCAGGAGACAATACAAACCCAGCAAGCTAACATCAAGCACGGCTACACTGGTCAAATAACTGTAAAAGTTACCAGCCATCTGGCTAAAGAACTAAGTAATAAAATGCAGTTAAATACAATTTATGGTTCTGGGATTTCATAGATTTCGCTATAAATTTTAATAGCACCACATACGGAAACTGTATACTAGCGTACCACTATTTGTATGTAAATATTAATCAACATCATAATCGTCGTAACGGCGAGGTCCAGCTGTGGTACTGAATTTGAACTACTGATGTATTGAGATATTCCTGTTCCCACTGATTAATTTATATTATATATACAACAATTTTTATTCTAATATTATGTATGTATATAATAAAAATAAATCAACGGAAAAGGAATGTTTTCTACATAAATTCAAAATTTTAAAATTATTATAACATACATATATCATCGCAGAAATTTCATATGCTTTACATAGAATAATCACATTTCAGTCTTGCCTAGTTGTTATTACTTCTTCCAGAAGATGGAACTTCATTACGAAGATGTACTCATACAGAGAGTTCTCCTCATCGAGCTACTTGTTTCAGTTTTCATTCCCACGCTTTCACAGTACTACTTTTTTCTTTCATACTCACACGTATCTTAATTTAAGAATTCAGCAACAGTAAAACATAGATGAGTTAGAAATTCTGTATATGAATGAATGAAGAACCGCTCACCTCGAGCTCCTCCTCGTGACGAATTTTTTGTTCTTGAAGTTTACGTCGCGCACGTGGCGTCAATGCTTCTTCTACTACGTCGCTCGCAATATGGCCTTCTGGTTCAGTGTGTTCCAGTGGTGGCCTAAAATGGGTCCCCATACACAAAATCGCTCTCACCCATAAACAATCGTAAGGGACGATGGCTTAGCTAGAAGA